GTACGGTAATCTCAATATGTAGTCACTACTGGCATCTCATTTGCACGAGTTTTCTAGTTTACCAAGCATCATGTCACAATCACAGTAAATGTGTTGTCGGGATTGTGAAATTGTACTTTACTAATGAGTGAAAAATCGTTTTGCCCTTTAGTGTCCCTTTAATACGAGTGATCATCATGGGCCATGTGAACGTTGTACAGGGGGTACGATTCGGAGTGGTGAATGCAGGCCATCACAATATTTTATGCGCTAGTTTTTAACGACATGGGCAACGCTGATTGAACGAGCTAAAGCTGGAGTTAAAACTTTTTCATATGACAAAATTTTTTTACGTTACCTTTGTAGGGCGCTAAACGAATAAAGACAGTAATGTGATAAGGAATAGTTGAAGGCATGTGTTGCTAAACCCCATATTTGGATGTTTGTCTTCGTCAGCCTAGCAATTTCCAGCCTCGACGTGCCAAGCACCGTCTAACCTAACCAGAAACTTTCATTCATACATGGGGTTTAACGTCCCAAAACCACTGTATGATCACGACAGACACCGTAGTGGAGGGCTCCCGGGAATTTTCGACCACCTGGAGTTCTTTAATGTGCAGCCAAATCTGAGCACACAGGCCTACGGCATTTCCTGCCTCCATCAGAAATGCAGCCGCCACAGCCGGGATTCGAATCCCACGACCTGTGGGTCAGAAGCAGAGTACCTTAGCCGCTAGACTACCTGCGACGGGGCAACCAGGACCAGGAACTTTGGCAGAGCAACTGTGCTTTATAATCGCCAACTGTTGCAAGGGCAGACTCAATTTTTTTTAATAGTCTTTTATTGCCATAGTAAACACGTCTTCTGCATGTTACTCGCGCAGTGCACAGTATATTGCATATACATTTTCACCGATTGTACACCGACATGTCACAAAAATAATAACAGCTTCCTGGATTTGGTCAAAGCATAAGATAAAAAAACTGCGAAAGACAAGTTTGATGCATCTAAAGAAAGACATTACTTGGCTAGTGAGCTAGGAAATATATATTCACCCCTTCCGACAAATGAACCAAAACAAAAAGTCAATACATCTGCCTTCCAATACCGCCATATGCATAAAAAATAGCGTACTAGTGTGGCAGCTTGGGCTAGTTGGTATGGCATGACGATAGTTATAGCGCGAGAACAAAACGACGACACAGAGACAAGAAGGACACAAAAGACACGAGTGACAAGAAGGACACGAAAGACACGAGCGCTCGTGTCTTTCGTGTCCTTCTCGTCTCTGTGTCGTCGTTTTGTTCTCGCGCTATAACTATCGTCAAGCCTACTAGTGCCATTAAGCAGACACTATTCTCATTCATTATAACAGTTTCACGGCTGAAGCATACTGGTTGTTCACCACAAAGCCCTTGCTTTAGGCACTTTAGAGAATTGCACATGCCAAGTAACTATGAAAAAGTCATAATAAGAATCTCTGCAACAAAGGCACGACATCCACAAAAAGCACACACAGGAGGCATTCCATTGAGAACTTCGTAGTAATATCAGTAGTATTATCGCACATAGTGCTAATGGCTCCACAAGGTGCCCATGCCTTAACTAAAGTCCCTCCATTCACGTTTTATGCCAACCAGATTAAGTACCAGCATGATGCCCTCCTTCTCTTCCCTGCTCCTATTTTAAGGCTCATCTCCACCTGCAACTAGTATTCGTTGTGCAGGCCATCAGTCACTGACCACCAAGCAACTCTAGGCGATTGCAGTACACACCTGCGTGTGACCAACACCCGTCACCAAACGGAATCCACGACTGCTCGCATGCCATTGCCTCGAAATAGGCCGACGTCCTGTTGCACCAGATCCGATTCGTTCAGATCGTTGACGACCGTAGTCATGCAACTAAGGAATCGAGCAGCGAGTGACTTAGTCGATTCAATCGCTTCGAGACCAAAGCGGCCATTTGTAAGCATTCACAAACAGCCACTTTGTGACTAACTTGGTTGCGCAGCTAGTTGTGGTGTGAACAAGCCTTTACGCAGTCCTTCATATTTTGGTGTCAAGCAAAAGAGCAGTTTTCTCGTTTCTAACTATGCATTCTTTACTTTCGTGTTCCCATTGCTCCAAAGCCAATCTATCCACACTAAAACTGTGTAAACATGTATGGAGCGGCTTTATATTGTGTCTACCAGCATCTTTGGTCAGGGATCTAGTGGCATTTTCAGATTACACATCAACTGGCAAAGAGAAAAGTGCTAAACGTGGAACTAGAACTGCAGAAAACATGGTTACCAGATGTGGAACTAACAGATCGATTTATCGAATCTAGAACTGATGCATAGGGAAACAAAGGTGCCAATAGTTGGTGTTGCATTCCACCCCCCCTCCTCCAAGAAAAGGCAGTGGCAACATGTATGGAGAGACTGAAATAATATACATAACATGCTCATTTGGGCAAGGTGGAATCCTCAAGAAAGCATAGCCACTTCTTGTGGTGCAGAAATGAAAATAAAACATTGACACGGTGACTGTCTTCCAACTGACCCCTTACGCACGAAAGTACGCTCATCCATGTAGCTATATATAGTACCTGTGCATATGTACATATATCACATATTTAACATACATGTATGTTGTATCGGAGCACATGTACATATCACATATTTAACGTGTCCCAAATTGGAGCACAAGTTAACTGAATAAATGTTTATATACATAAATCTATACCTTGCAAATGGCTGCACTTCCAGATAAAGACGAGGGGGAAGACAGCCATTATTAATTTTAGTTGCAGCTGTCGCTGCACCAGAATTGAGCAGAGCTCTTGCAGTCAGTCTCGTACCCGTCTATATCAACTACATCCACAATGCCACATATATGGTACTGTACAGTACAGTTTTTTCACGTTATAATAAGGTATGCTTTAGAAGACTGATAAATGACAGACTGTGGCTGTCGAGTTTGTTCACATCAATACACAGGCAACCTAATGTGCTCAACCATTCAACAGAGTTGGGCACAGTTTGATCGTAGTAACATGAAATGCCTTTTACAATGCTAAACGAATCAAATTATAATTTTACGAAATTTCACGCGATGGACAACATGAAGACCCTGAGCAATCGTTCCCTTCTACACTATTAGAAGAAGTGGGAAAAGAAAAGCTAAGAACAAGCTGTACTGTACTGACCTAAGCTCGAGCAAAATCAGGGGGAGAAAAGGTGCAGCAGAACATACATGGCAAAAAAAGTGTTTTACAATTTTTGTCTAATATTTTTATAGCAAGCAATACAATCTGCTGCAGGAAAATATTTTTCACTTTTCGGCTCCTTTGTTTATTGCTGAAAGGAAGAAAAAAAGGTGCAAAACTGGCACGGTAATGGCTCTCTTGTTTTATGGAGGAAGAGCATTTCTCAAACTGTTGCCTGTAAAACAGACTGCCAAAAAGTCATCTGCTCTGTGCATAAACAAATATGTACAATCTCGCTTCATTTTGCGACAACTATATTCTACACTCAATGTCTTAACTGCCAGTGCGATTTCTTAGTAATTGTTACACCAATCACATTTCACTTCAATTTTTATGTTGGTCCCGTGTTTATTTTTACTTTTTTTTTTCAAAAACACCAAGCTAAATCTCCTGCACAAGTGGTACTTGCACAGCATGACGCCACCGTTTGCAAACTTCATGAGCTAGGTGCACATTTTTTTTTTTTTAAGGAATCAATAGAGTATGCTGCACCAAACCTACATCTAGACAGTGAGAGACGGTGTGATGCAAGGCTCTGCGATAAGTTTGACAATACGATGCTTCCAAAACAAATTTTAAAGCGTACTGACACAAGCTTTGAAAGCTGTAGAAAAGAAACTTCATAACACGCAGCTCTTGCACGCGACGATACATATTTGCAAAGGAATGATGCTCGCTCACTGCCACGATGTACAATATCCAATTTAGACACTAGAGTTGGTTTCTAAATGCTGGATCTGGTGTTGTAAGCACCATTGCGGCAGGGCGACGTGAAGCAAGATTTGCCGGCACCATGTACAAGAATGGCTAAATATGATGACACCGTTCATTAACTGAAACAACATCGTACATTGCTTCTGGCCACACTCTCACACGACAGTCGCAGCAATTGCTAGGACGGAGCAAGCCGATTAATAAATTTGTCGTCATGCATTAAGGCTTTCCTTGCATAAACTAGCTGATGTGAAGAAGCATTACAGAAAACTGTCCTAGGGTTCACAGGGTTTGGACATCGAACGAAAGAAAGAAAATGGTATAAAAAGACTTCAGATCACCCGTTTAAATTAAAAGAGTGCTTTCACATTTCACCTCCATCAGAATGCTGTTGCATTGATAAGGAATCGAACCCGCAACCTTGTGCCCTAGCAGTAGAAGACTAAGCCACTACGAAGAAAGAAGGTGATGATGATGATGTGGAATGCATTTAAACTTGTGCAGCGTTAGAGGAAAGTTTATAATGAATGAAGCCAAACAAATGAACATGCTCTTCTTGGATAAGCAACACTCGCTTTAAAAAATCATGACTCATCATCACAACTCTCTTGCCAAAGTGTTGCATGTCCCCCTCAGTGTCTAAACAACATTGCATTGCCATGCTTAGACTGATGGCAGTTAACACATGACTGGAAAAGCGCAGAGCAGTAAGTAACAATTTAAACGTTAGTTTTTCACTTGCAAAGTCAGAACAAAAAGTGAATTCCATAAAGAAACTGCTTTTGCCTTCAACACAGCCCCTTCCAACGATAACATTTAAATGAGAAACAAAGTGCTGCAAACTACAGTGCAATGTGAAGAAATGTGATCACACACTTGGAGCAATAAGCACACATTCTCGTCATTCCCACAGTTGCAAAGCTGGAGAGCGGGAGTGACTGAAGAGTCACTACGGCGCATAAAGACTGCTCAGGAACGTTACCAGCTGGCCAACTTGGGGTGTCCAGCTCGATTCCCAATGGAAAAGCCGAGTACGGCCACAAAGGTACAGTTCTGCAGAAAGGCTCCAAAATTTTACTATTGATCAGTTCCAAGAAAGGTCTTTTCTTCGAAATTGCTAAAGCAACAAATATGACGCTTAGTCAAGAAATGTTACACCAGTGGCTCGAGTTAGCACTGCCGATAGATTGTATGCATGACTGGTCAGCTCATTAACAACAACAATGTATACTAATGATGTGTATACTAAAAAAGCAGGACTGGTCAGCTCATTAACATCAGCAAGGTATAACAGAACAGCTGCAACATCGAATGCTAATGCATCACTAAATGGCCAACTTTGAAGCTACTGCACCTTACCATACAAGCAGTGGACTGCATGAAAAAATCAATATGGTCACCAAATTTGTATTCTCCTTTCGACATGTTCTTGTGCACTGCGTGAGACTAAATTACGAAAGTTACATGAATGTAAACACTTGAAAGGTGCAGTGCGAATTCGTTGCCCATCATTTTATTAATGCTACACATATGGCTGAATAAGTGTACTTTTGTGTTGTGTGCCATTTTATGTTTTTAGGCACGTAACGTTGACCGGCATGAGACATAATGCACACTCCTCTCTACGGCCACACAAGTCATTATTCCCGATAAACTGCACTGTCTAGAAAAGAGCTGTTAGTAAAATCCTGCACACAAGGCTGAGCTTACCCCAGATGCAGAAAGTGGAGCAGACCAAAAACTGGGAATTTAGAAATGCCGCACTGTATTAATGTGGATATTCTGCACAGTGCATGTACTGTAGGTTGGCCTGAACTGTAAGCTGCTAAACACGCCCGTAGCTGCATTCGACAACGGTAGAGAATATAAAGTACTGTAGAGTAATGGCATGTGTATTTGAACCTGTAACAACCACGGCGTGTTAGGGGGCATCTGTTTTGGGCTCTTGATGCACCTGACTCGATCTCGAGTATTGAAACATCGTTTAGTAAGTTAGTACCTATAAAACATGCGGAAGCTTCCGGTGTCACAGGAACCGTTGCATGTGCTGATGTCACTATACCTGCTCGGTCAAAAAATACTATAATAAAGAGACAAAGAACAAACACTGGCTGGAAGGCACATATTTGTACATTTCTTTACCCGAAGAGCGAAAAAACAAGTAAGGCTTTTAAGTCGTAATGTACAGGCAAAGGTACAGAAAACTGGATGAAAATCGCACGACTCCAATTTGTTACAGGCTTTAGCTCTGGTTTACATTCACAAATTCGTTCATCAGTTCTCCATGCATATGGCCATTCAATATTACATTAAGTCACACAGTACTGACTCATAAAGTTAGTGTAAGGTTTTAAAAACAATACATCTAGATCCAAGCAGGGTGGCCTCACAAAAATCCTTATGATGACCTACATATGAGGCAGGAGTCCTTAAGTCAGCAAAACAAAGCAGTTCACTACATACACCAGAGATAACAAAAGCTACTACTAATTCCCATCTAGCTACTGTCTGCAGATATAACATTTTCAACAGTGGACAATGTACAGTCACAGCTAAGAAAGATTGTCAAACCATTCCTCAAGTTTGTCGTAAATTTGCGACCCATTGCCTTTTTTTTACAAGGTAGGACCACTTGACGTAACTCCCAAGTGAGAAGTAAGTGTGGTTGCAAATGTTTGACCCCATGTGTGGCAGTTGAACAAAAAGAAAATAACTAAGCAGCAGAGTCTCCAACAATGTCACAAACGACGCCGTCTCACGCATGCGTTCAATACACGACTCACCATCCAGAACTGGTGTACAACTTGACTTCCAAAGTTCTTCCTTGTCAACAAACAGGTCATCATTAGTGCCAGAATGCTTCTAAAACTTTACAGAGTGAATCAGCCCTTCTAAATAGTTAAACAACTAGAGGGTGCGGTAATCAAACATAAAAATTGTGGCTTATACTAAAGCTCTTAAGATCCATCTCAATCTGTGTCCGAAACTAAAGAGGCCACGATAAAGATACTCATGCCAGTAGGCATTTTCAATACCAGTGGCCGAATGAATGATAAAAGATTTTGGACTGACACGGCAAACCTGCCATTGTGTGCCGAGGCTGAACTCCCACGATCGTAGGCTTCTCTTCCACAACATGGGATGGGCACTGGAACAAGACTGAGCCACGAACGAACAAGTCGACCATCTAGGTCATGGGAAGAGTATATGTACACCAATTTCCGAGGTGCGTGCGAGCCTTCAAGATGTCACGAGCCGTGCCTTGTCGCTCGTCGTGGGTGCGCACTCCACAGAGAGCTGGTGATCGGCGGACGACGGAACGTCGTTCACGGAAGGTGCCTCCAGCGTCGGAGACGTCCCTGCGGCAGCAGCCGAGCTGGGAGAGCCGTTCTTGCTCGGAATGCGCATGGCACCGGGAAGCACCAGAGTAGTCACGTTGTTCTGGCCTCCGCGCAGTGCAGTCCACACAAAACACGGCAGAAGCAGGATGAGCGCAAAGACGCCAAAGATGATTGTTCCGATAGCCCACCAGGTGGCCTCCACTGTAACAGGACCTGTAGCAAAAAAGCATACTTTTTTTTTTTGTCTGAGAAGAGCAGTTTGGAACACCTCAGCATGATGCCTTAGAATAGTGTAGGGTCTTTAAGCACAGTACTTATTGATTGATACTGGCAACTCAATTATGCATCATTACATGAGTGGAACGAATACAGTAAAAAACATTTTTAAAAAGCATTTCCTGCCAGGGCGCTTAAAATAAATAAACTGGAATGGTATAGGAAGGGCCGCACACGTCAATATTTTCCCGAAGTGAACATTGACTTCGAATAGTAAAAAATGGGTCTCGTCAAAACTCGATACGCAAGTTTCATTTCCACAGTTGCATTGCAAACACGTTTCTTAGTGGCCGTGGTGCAATTCACGACTTGGTATGAATGCCATCAGTGTGTATACTACAGCGCAAGTCCAATGTAATGTTAATGACTAAATATCTACATATAAGCAAAATATTAATGGGATCTAACAGGCAATAATGCCAAAGAAGGTATGGGAGACGTTATTAGAAGTAATTGTAATGGAAATGTGAAGAAAAAAAGTAGCCGCAAAGATAACTTGCCATCGGCAAGGATCGAACCTGCAAGCTCCCATTAATGTTGTGCCTAAAAAAAAAAGAAATGTGTCCTTAAGTTTACACTATCCTTCATCAAGAAGCAATGGGTCTGTTTAAGGAAGCTCTGTTGATGGAATATGTATAAAAAGATCTTCCTTTTTTTGTAATAATTGATACAAGGGTATTGTTTTTTTTCATGTCCATTTAAAAAAGTTCAGTTCACATGTTGCACCAGGTGAAAAAAAAATCTTGTCAGAAGCACTTTTCTATTTAGGCAGCAGTTGGGCAACTTCACAAGTTTAGACTTCATGTTTTTGGTATTTATGATAGCCCGAGTGGGATGAAATTTCGCCCCCACATTCCTTACCATGTGAAGGGATCAAGCATCTCCTTTAAAATTTCATATCACCTGTACAACTGTTGCAAACCTAATGTGAACAATTAGTATGGGCTGAGGATTCTAAGCATTCTCACCTGACAATTTTTCTTGTCTGTTGAAATGTTTTATACAGTTTACTCTCACTAAACGGAAATTTGTTAAACGGAACTACTGCTTAAATGGAACTATTGCCTCTGCAATACTTGGTTTCGGGCTAGTATTCTGCACCCATGTTCACCTCTCAGTAAACAAAACTCCTGTTAAATGGAACATATTTGCTCAATCCCTTCAGGTTCCATTTGCTGAGAGTCTACTGTATATGCACTTTCTATATAGTTATTTGCACCCTACAGATAATATAGAGCAATATGAGCCATTATTGGCCGAGAACTAAAAATGTTAGGAGTCATAAAAAGTTCGTCCAACACCAACTACATGTAAAACATCGTCATGGCATAAAACAAACTGTGCAACTTACTATGAAAACCTAAAAATAACTGTCACCACAGTGCTTCATAAAAAAAGCGACAGAATACCAATCAAGAAGGGTGTAAGACAAGGGGATACGATCTCCTCAATACTATTTGCCGTGTACTTACAGGAGGTTTTCAGAGGCCTAGAATGGGAAGACTTAGGGATGAGAGTTAATGGAGAGTACCTTAGTAACCTGCACTTCGTCGATGGCATTGCATTGCTGAGTAACTCACGGGATGAATTGCAACTCATGATTATTGAATTAGACAAAGAGAGCAGATAGGTATGTCTTAAAATTACCTTAAATACCCACGTATAATATGAGGTTTTTCCCGAATATTAGCATTCCAAATTTCCGCTTCATACTATGTGTGGATCCGAACGAAAACATGCTTGAAAAACGAAGTTGTGAGAAGTTTCGGTTTCGTAACTGCCGCTTGGCTACGGCATCGTTTTGTTTATGAGTGGCTACGGCTTGGCTTCGTTACCTTCGCGCCCTGGCGTGGCAAAAGTGAGCGCTAGCTTCATTCCTTTGTTGTCGAGTTTTTTGAGCATGTGTTTGGACAGCGGACGTGTGCACTTGTGAACCTCGCTGTGTTCTGTGCCTTGCTTCGCAAAGGTGCAACATGCCAGGACACTGAAACCAGTACTCAGCTGCATTCAAAAGGAAAGTCAGCGCAGCTGCCACGGAAATCGGCAACAGTGCTGGCCTGAAGACAGTTCAGGAGTCACCGGGGAAGTGTCCATGAATGACGACGACAGAAAGAAGCGCTTTTTGAGTGCAGCAGAAAGCCGAAAAAGCTTTCACGGTCCAAAGAAAGGGGCTTACCCAGAGATTGAACTCGCACTGACAGAGTTCGTTCGAGAGCAGCGGGCGGCGCTATTGCCAGTCAACATGGAGCTGATGCAGATGAAAGCGAGGGAGCTGGCGAGAGAAAAGGGGATGTTGAGCTCGGACTTCAAAGCCAGCAAGCACTGGATCTACCGTTACATGTGGGAAGCTGAATTTTCCCTTGCGTCGGCGAACCTCCATTTCTCAGAAGCTCCCTGAAGCCTTTGCAAGAGCTTCTTATTATATTTCAACGCCATGCAATTACGTTGTGCTGCTCACAAAACTTCCAGCTGGGACAAATCGGCAACGCCGATGAAATGCCAGTTTACCTGGACATGCCATCGCCCCTTACAGTTCACGAGAAGGGCTCGAAGCAGGTTACTGTCCGTATCACCGGCAATGAAAAAACGCGTGTCACAGTCATGTCATCGTGGACTGCGGACCGCCACAATCTCCTACCTTATGTTGTTTTCAAGCGCAAGACAATGCCGAAAGAGGAGGAGCTACCGAATAATGTCATCGTGAGATGTCAAGATAAAGGCTGGATGAACGAAGACCTTGTCCTAGACTAGGTAAAGTCAGTGTGGTGCACACGGCCTGGCGCCCTACTGTCTTTTCCATCCATTCTGGTGCTGGACGCGCTTTGCTGCCATTTGGCCGACTCATTGAAGAGGCTCTTGCGCGACTACGGCACGAAACTGGTCGTGATCCCGGGTGGGATGACGTCTCAACTGCAAACTCTCGACGTTTGTGTAAATAAGCTGTTCAAGGATGCGGTTAAGCGTTGCTATGCCAAGTGGGTGCGCTCAGGTGAGCCTACAGTGACGCCAACTGAGCGGCTGAAACAATCATTTTCGCCAACGCTATGCAATGAATCTTGGACGCTTGGGCAAGCATCCCAGAGTACCTTGTGTGTCATTCCTTCAAGAATTGAGGCATCTATAATGCCCTCGATGGCACAGAAGACGAGCACCTCTTCGACGAATTGTCTGATAAGGAAATGTCCGAGGAAAGCACAGTTGAAGACAACAGCGATTGACATGGCGGATGTGTGATCAATAAATGTGTTTTCGGTGACCTTTCCTACATCCTTTTATACACAAGCACAATATATTTTTTTTTTTTTCATTTCACGACTTTAAAATTTGGCCTCGTATTATATTCGGGTTGTATTATACGCAGGTATTTAGGGTAATCTGCAGGAAACGAAAGCAATGTACAACCACTTCGGAAGAGAACACCATTTTGAGATAGGTAGCAGTGCACTTGAAGTTGTAAAAGACTACGTCTACTTAGGACAAGTAGCAACCGCGGAGCCGTACCACGAGACTGAAGTAAGTAGAAGAATAAGAATGGGGTTAAGCACGTTCAACAAGCATTTTCATATCATGACTGGTAGACTTCTACTATCCCTCAAGAGGAAGGATTATAATAGCTGCATATTGCCAGTACTTATTTACGGAGCGGAAACCTGAAGGCTTACCTAGAGGGTTCTGCTTAAATTGAGTACACAGTGAGCGATGGGAAGGAAAATGATAGGTGTAACCTTATGAGACAGGAAAAGAGCAGAGTGGGTCGGGAAACAAACCAGGGTTAAGGATATCATAGTTGAAATAAAGAAATGAACATGGGCCAGGCACGTAGCGCGTAAGCAGGATAGACACTGGTAATTACGAGTAACTGAGTGGATTCTCAGATAAGGTGAGGGGGAGACACAAAGTTAGGTGGACAGATGAGATCAGGAAGTTTGCTGGTATAAAGTGGCAGCAGCAAGCACAGGACAGAGTTGACTGGCAGAACATGGGAGAAGCCTTTGTCTTGCAGTGGGCATAGTCAGGTTGATGATGAACCAAAGTGGGAGGGGTGGGTTCATTATGCAAGTGAATATATGTGCTCGAAAAGTGTACAGAAAAGCTAATCAAACGGATAATAAATTAGGATCTTCTGAATAGAAAAAAGAAGACTACAAATCAGAAGCGGTACTATTGTGTGTACATAAACTATTGCATGGTGCGCGTGATGTCGGCCATACATATAGGGTCAGCGTTCTCGGCTCCTGAGAAACGTTCTAGAATTCGCCCACTGGTTTGAAGGAAAATGGAGCCAAATGGCAATGAAAGAAGTGGCTGTATAATTAAGCATGTGTCTTTGATTATACCCTGCAAGCACAGTAATGCTTACGAGATGCCACTTACATGTGGGCAGTCATACGTGGGTCAGAGCAGCCAATGCGTTAATGTGTGCTTAACAGAGCACGAAATTCACTTCAGAATTTAAATATTTTGTATCTGGCATCGCACGGCAGCACATGGGGCAACTTATTTGTTTTTGCCGATGCAGACATATTGTCATGACATAGTTTCCAGACAACTAGATAAATATAGAGGGACTTCACATTAAACAAATGGGCGACGAATATATAAGTCAGGCATTGTTGTCTCTTATGAACAAGGAATTCACCTATCTTGTCAGCACATGTGTCACCTTGTGATGCTCTATGTCACCTTTTCTATTTGTCTTTAACTCTTCTACACAATGTGGAAAAGCTTTTATATTCTTGCTTTTACGTTCCCGTGTCCTTCAAGTAAATCTTTTCATTTGAGAGTCAGTACTTGTATGTGTCCCTTCTATTGTATACCCTCTTTGTCGCTCTCGTGCTGTACATTAACAAGCATATTCACAGTTATGCTCCACTTCCATACCTTATATGTTTCCGTCATTATTCATATTTTCGAAATATGCCACCATAATTGCTATGTCATTAGCAAAAATTGGGCAGTACAAGGCCGAGCATAAGGTTGAGAAGAAGCTATATAATTCCATGCATGCACTCACTGGGACACTGCTCTGGCAACGGGACCTGCGTCCCACCGCAATGATTGTGGCCGTCACAGAAGATATCCGAAGCGATGCAACGCTTGTTGTAGCACTCATGCCTCGTGCTGGGGCAGCTGCCATCACTGCTCACTGCAAAAATAAAAAGGAAGGGCTCTGTACAACACAGCACACAACCAAGACAAAGTTTTGTGATGAAATAAATAGTCAGCTGTTCAATGACACAAAGGATTGGTAATAATGTTCGGGTTCAACGTCCCAAAACCACCATACGGTTATGACAGACAACATAGTGGAGGGCTCCGGAAATTTTGACCACCTGGGGTTAACGTGCACCTAAATCTAAGTACACGGGCCTCAAGCATTTTCGCCTCTACCCAAAATGCGGCCGCCGTAGCCCAGATTCGATCTCGCGACCTGCAGGTCAGCAGCCCAGTGCCTTAGCCACAACACCACCGTGGGAGGTAAACAAAAGATTGATGTCCTTGCAGATTGAGGTTTATCAGGTATTTGGCGACCTTGCGAATTTTGGTTTATCAGACATCAGTTCAGTAGTTGTTCGGACGTAAATTTTCTTCACCTTGAATATCTCTGCAGAATGATGAAGCTGTTTCATTTACTTGTGACACCGGTATTACAATGAGTGCTAAGAACAAACTGAACTGTGTCAAAGTGGCACAGTGATTTGGCACTAAAAAAAAATGGTCACGGTGTACTAAGACTAAACGTTTTGGTGTGCAGACATCTCTTGTACACCAAGGGCTTTGAAACCTTGCTTAACAACATCAACCATCGAACAAAGGAATGACAAACTGTGTTTTTGTAATTTATCATGGGTACCCACTTGTGGTCAGAGGCGTGCGCAGTGTTCCCATTAAGGGGGAGGTGGGGAGGGGCAAAGGTTTGTCTCAGTGCCCTTCCTCTCTGTGTAAAGTTGACTTTTACACCACCTTTCTTGGATGACCAGGGGGGGCGGCTGCTCCTCCGTGCGCACGCCTATGCTTGTAGTGCAAAAGCATCACTCTTCTGCTTTTGGCACAACTCGTGCATGTAAGCAGGCACTCTCAGCTAAGAACTACACAGGCCCACACAATGGGTGACTTAAATTTTGCTAAGCGAATGCAGACCATTTGTGCTTTTTCGGAAGGAAAATGTGTCACGCTTTCGGGAGTAGTACTTAAGGCCACATGCTGTGCTATAACTTCGGGCTGACATGCTCTGAGGCGCCTCAAGTAGCAATAGACGTTTTCCAACCACGACGATGAAGTTTTGCTGGACCCCTTTAAAGTACTTAATACCACAGAGAAACGATGAGTAGTGGTGTGACATCTGATGTGTATCTAACCAGGACAAGCCTTCATATGCTTGTCCTGTTTAAGAAAATAATTCCTGGCAGGGGCTTGGTTCAAATGTTTTGATCCCTTTCCACTCCCTCTAATAAATTTGTGCACCCAAAAAGAGGCTCGATCATGTTCTCCCATAAGTATACCCCTCCTCCGAGAATATCCTGTATTCGACACTGCTTTGATTGCTGGCCGTACTAAAGCAACATGTCCTCAGTAAAGCCTACATGCAAGTTTCAGCTCAACTTGTTCTCACCTTTTGTATTCTCCGAGTGAGAAGTACAGGAACAGCAGTTCGTACTTGAGGCAAGGTTATCACAGCCTACCCAACAATTGCACTTATCGATGAAGCATCCCCTAAATTCCACCACACTCACCATTTGTAAACGCTGTGAGCACCAACGTGAAGTTACTACTTGGCGACGTGGCATTGACATTCAGCATGACCGAGCCATTCTCCGGCGGTTTCAGGAATGCTACCTGCAGAGATGGCGTGGCCTCACGGCTATCTTCACGGTGGCCACAGAATGGCCCTCCTCCGGGCACTACTTCATTACCAGCCATCACACTGAGATAACTGTTAGTGCAGTTTGCCGAAGTCGTCAAGTTTAGCGAGACGACCGTGACGAGAAGCCCAGATGGAAAGCGGATGGGCACACTGCACTCTTCTTGCGAGCTGTTGAGCCACACGAGAGCCGCTTTGCGGACCGTGAGGGGGGCCGACTGGTTCTGGCAGAGCTCTGTGAATGCATCTGCAATGCAAGGAACAGATGCGATTGAATTTGAATAGAACAATTTTCCACCTATTGGGAGGAAATTCAGAAAGTTAAGTTTGCCAGAAAGCAGCCTCACCATTTTGAAGCTGTCATCGTGGCCTTAAAGGGACCACGCAACGGTTTTGACAATTTCCAATAAATGCATTGAGCTGGCAAATCAAGTCCTAAAAATCATTTGTAGAGCGATTTAAGGTCTCTGGCTTAACTGCATAATATAAAACAAGACATTAAACATGCGAATCACAACAGATAGCAGCGGCTTAGCCAAACAAACTTTCAACTGCCTGCATCCTCATTACATAACATTGTTCAGCCTTGAGTAGCACCAGCAACCAATCCGAGTGGATATGCTTACTCTAGGCAAGCTGATCCTCCGGTAAACAGCGCATGTCGCATGTCTGGGTTACAATGTACTCTTTGTTGACGTGACCTGCTCGAGTGTTTATGTTGAGGTTTCTTTTCTCAGACACTACCTGCGCAGTGTGCCGTAAATATAGAAATTGGCGAATCGTAAAGCCACGACACCACATAAAGCATGTAAGACATCTGGGGAGCACAGTGGTCTTATGTCACCGCTGCAGGAAGCATCAAACACTCGCTATACGATCGACGCCAACCTCCACGTGTCTGTGGCTGCAAGCTTACCCCAATGACAATAACACCGCCAGAGTTTATGGTTCTTAATAATCATACTGAAATATTTTTTGTTTGTCTTTGCAAATCCTTGCAGTACAGGAGAGTAAAATGAGCATGGTCAGTAGTGGGGTGGCACCTGGCAGAGCAAATGTTCCACTTAGCCTCTGTTCAGACGGCCCTCGCCGGGTGGGCTACGATCACTAGTAAAAGCTGGCGGTCGGATGAGTTCAGTGGCCAAGGCAGTGGCAAGAAAGAAGGTAGACATATTTGCCCGTACCTTCCTCTGTACACAGTGTGTCAATTTGTCATGCAAATAATTTGATGATGTCATGGTCACAACACTACTGACAAAATTTCAAAAAAGCCATTTCAGAGTTGATTTAAAAGCAGTAAAAAGGCAAGAACAATAGCACATACTTGTTCAAGAATAAAGTATATCTGTCTCAGACACATACAAATCAGTAACACATATAAATTCCCCCCCCCCTTTCCAAGAAAAGTTACAAGCCAACAAATATTTAGAACAGCAACATTAATTGGCAATTAGTATCGATGGGCACAGATCTAAAATCTAGTATAATATTGTTCTTGGCATCTATCAGAAAAATGTGAATTCGTTCCTTAAATTATTTCTGCACGCCTTCAACCAAACACTTTTGAAGTCCAATACTGCCAATCTAGCTGAACGTGCTTAAATATAATAATAATGTAGACTAAATATGCCTCATTTGATGTTTCAATCTACACATTTTATGGTATGTAATTTTATAAGAATGCATGAATATCAAGAACTGATTGCTAGTGGTGAAAATTCACAAGAACATGCATTAAACTCATGTTTAACCATTTTTGAGACTGTCTACAATTGCATACACTACTTATTTTTGCTGGTTGTGTCGACAAGGGGTCCAAAAAGAACAAGCTATATAGAGATTTCGATCAACAGGACGTCCTGCGCAATAAATGCATTCGTAGGGTCACTTTAAAATCAACACGGCAAACCTTTGAACAAAAGTATGCCGGCTTGAAATTCTACTATATGGATACCACAATTTATTGAGACCTCAGAATGACAACCTTTAGTAGACGCGACAAGACGTTGTTATCATTGCTTATTAATACTTGTCCGCACGCATTGATGACTGTTGAATTTTACACAAAGGTCGAGCTTCGAAGTCAAGTTTCGCAATCCGGTTGACAAGTGTGGCAGCTTGGGCTAGTTGTTATGACATGACGATAGTTATAGCGCGATAACAGAACGGCGACAAAGAGACAAGAAGTCCTTCCTGTCCTTCTTGTCTCTTTGTCGTCGTTCTGTTCTCGCGCTATAACTATCGTCCGGTTGACAACCTTCGCTTTATTTATTTTGAGGCAAGATAATCGCGAGAACTGGCACAGTCACGTGCCGTGGCATGGATCACACGACGACGCACGAGCAAACGCCAATCTGAAACGACGTCCACCGGAAAACCGCCTATCGCAACACCGCAAGACGCCGACGAAACCATCTGCGGCCATGCCATGACATCATAGGGAGCTCATAAAGCGACCGACCATCTACGGTCTCGCAGCTGCCGGAGCGGTCGTGGGGAAATTTACATTTTTAAAGCCGAGACGTGTTCTCCGAGACGACCATCCGTTGTGTGTTGAGAACGACGCGAGCATTTCACCGCCCATGGCAGCTTTAATTAGTAGGGAGTCTGAGAATAACGTTTGCAGGCGCTGACTCGCACACTAGCGGACCGTTTCCGAACTTCACACAGCAGCTGGTCTTTCCAACACGTCGCGTTCTGCGATACGAGCAGGAAGTTTTTTATTCGACCCACTTTCACTGGCGTAACTTTGCACACACCCCTAGGTGCTACGTGAACATTGGCGCTCGCGCACTTTTCGCAGTGCGAGCTTCGAGCCGAAACGAGACTTTCAGAAAGTGACTTACATCCGGGCATTTCGTCGGCGAGCGCGCACGACAGCGCGGTGCAAAGCAGCGCGATCGCGCACGTTCGCCAAGCCATGGTCACCGTCTCCTCTTCAGCAGGTCGCCGCTCCCTGGCCGAAGACTCGGACGCACCAACTCTACTGACACTACCACTATGTGGTCAGCTAGCATGCAAAAGTGTATGCGACTAGAGTATCGCTCTGCAGGCGTCAAGGCCGCGGCCAATGCAGCTGTCCGCGCTACGCGACGGTTATCTTCATTCAACGAGCTTCGGGGGGACGACCCAGAACGACCACGCGAAACAAAATGCAGAAAAGTTAGCGGGAAGAAACAAAATAAAAGTTGAAAAAGTTCATCACGTGCCTTTGTGGTCACGTGAATTGGCTCGGCTTAATGTTATGGCTTGGCTCTAAACGGCTCGACTTCATGGGCTTTGTATTTGCTTTGCTCACTTTGACTGAGCTGAGCCAGATAAGGGAGAGTTTTATAAATTAAATGAAGCAGATGATAAACTCGCTAATGAGTGAATAAGGCACGCGGACTTTATGAATCACGCTATGAGTCAATAGGAGTCAAGATACCGTGAAGCAAGTGCCTTTATTACGAACCTGCAACGAAGTCGAAGCGTAGCTTGCATAGAGTTTCATACAATAATGAAACCAAGGTAGCTGGTACAAGTTATAAGACTGACGTCAAGGTACAAGTTATAAGACTGACGTCGTAGTGGGGCGGACTAAAATAAGAGCTCTCGCAAGTTAGCGTGCCGTCAGCACCACAAACATATGACTATGACCACAATACAATAATCATGGCGTTTATAGGCGAAACGAAGAGATCATCAGTCATAAAGGAAGGGAAAAATCAGTATCAAAGAGGCTACACTAAAACGTATGGAGTGGCGGTTTCACATCGCTGCGGCGGCCATATTGCTCAGGGCAGAAGGATGTGGCAACTGCCTTGTAGCGCCGTAATGCTCTGAACGCTCATGGCCGTGCGTTTTGTTATAACTACTAAAGCACCTGTTTATTACTTTAAGAAGGCGAGGGAACGTGGGAGGGGCTTTCATGCCCATCTGCTTAAGTTTTTCTTTGCCACTTAGCGTTTTAAGCGTGTTAAAAAAACGCCAGGCCCGCGCGGACACGCAGAACATGCAGTCACAGCGATAGCTAGAAGAGCGGCCTTTCAGAGTCCTTTTCTAAATACTATTTGGACTGTTACAAGCACACTGCTGGGCACCCACAGCGCTATAAATAAATTTCGCGTAGTCGGCCAGCATTCACTATGCTATCCTTCGTCATTCTTTGGGGAAGAGTGGTATCCGCTACACACATGTTGGAAATTGTACGCATTTTTTTTATGCAGTGGCTGACGACGATGAAGAAATATGCATGAAGTGGGTAAGCGCCACAGTCAATAGGTGATCAAGAACAAGTTTTCTAATGGGTTGGAGCATTGGACGACCCAGTCGTTACGCAATTCGCACTGTGTGACGCCTGGCTGTTCCTTTGATGTTCTGAAACGCTTTATTACTCATATTAACGCGATTCTTTTCCTCACATCAAGCCTCCCTAAGGCCAGTTTAGAAACAACTGTTAAGTACTGGTGTGGCTGATTGGTAGAATACGCGGCTGGCAAGCAGCATACCCGGGTTCGAATACTATTGTGCCATTGGTCTTATTTACTGAGTTCATGGCGCTAGCGTGGCTTAGTGGTGGAATACTGAGCAGGCATGCAGCGGACCCGGGTCGGAATCCGATTCATTCATTCATTCACAAAACTTTATTTGTGTCCTGAAGCCCGGTCCTTTCAGACCGAGGCGGGCCGCGTCCACGTCGGTACCGCCAGGCCGAGCCTTGTGGCGTCATCGTGGACCTTCTGGACTGCCCGTAGTTAGTCCTGATAAGACGCGCTTCGCACCATAGTCTGCCAGTAAAACCGTTGTTCTTCGGGGTTGGCGAGAGTCTAATTGGTGTTTACTAACTAACGAGTTTTTTTTTTTTTTCGATACTGCTTACGGGCGGCGGCGGACAACTACGGCGCCACGTGTGACCCCTGTTCTGATCTCGTAACGGCTTTCACTAAAGAAAAAAAGGTACTCCGGGGTGTCAATTCGCATTATCTGTTTCCACAGTTCCCTCACAGCAGAAGTAACCAGAGAGGAGATGCAGCGAAAATAAAAAGGTTCACTCGCACACGTACACAACGAGCAGTCGTAAGTGAATAACAGTACAGCGTGTGTGAAAACTCGTTATTGTGGAGGGAGTAGGAGGGAGGGCATTCACCTTTTTTTTAAAAAACTCGTTTGAGAAGCTTCTGGATATCCAGAGAAAACGATGCTTGGAAAACCTCCAATCCTTCATCTGTTAATATGTTCTGCTCCATTATCTGGTCAATGAAATTCCGAGAAGCTTCAACACATTTCAAAAGGCTTCGTTGGTACAGCTACGATGTCACCATTTTTTTTCAGCTGTTAATTGTACGTCGTTCGCGATTATATTCAGTTTTTTTTTTGCATGTATCCCTATTGTGGGTGAAGTTTGGGTGTGGCGGGATCATCACAGCTCCAGCAATCAGAGGCGCTTCAGGCGAAAGTACTTATTTCCCCGACTTTCCAGAGGTGCTGCTTTCCTTTTTCTCCTACATAAAGAGATGCATATCGCAACATCAGAAATTTTGGCAATGGTAGCGTAGTGCTCCTGCAAATATAGGAAACTAAAAATCCCAGAAACGCAGAGCCGCATCCACTACCTTTCCAAAACGAAGCGCTCATTTGTATTAGGCACATTAACGCTTTTGAAAGTGCGATTGCAACGATGCAAACATTGTAGCAAATGTTACATGCCCGTTGTCTCGTTATTTACCTTTTCTCATCGAAGCGGCCTGGTTTAACATGTGTACTGAACATAAGCGTCATTCTTTTTCAGAGCTTATAAGCTTCTCGCCTTATAGCGCCCTCTCATGTGTCGCGCAATATGACGTCTTCGGAATGTTGCAACGTACAAAAATTATTCGAAGTGTCTGTGCACCCGGACGCAAAAGGGAAATATATGAACTCGCGAATGCAGTCGTAGTCGTGAAAATATGCGAGGGAGGGAAGCATGCCTACTTACACATCGAAAGTTGTGCCCGTTGTGTCCGCTTCACACGATTCGCGCAGCCAAATGCTACCCAAGATCCAACAGTCTTCGTTTCGAAAAGTGATTAAATACGTGTTCAGAACCGTCTTGCTCAATTAGGGGCACCACACGCAGCATTACTCGCACAAAAACAACGCGAAAGGCACTGACGCTACAATTCGTTCATCCGCTGTTTGCCTTGAGCAATATGGCGGCACGTCAACTTCAGCTACGGAGCCTTTCCGTCACTTCAGAAGCTTTAGTATAACGTTCTTGGTCAGTATCAACGTTGTCATTAACTCTATGTTCTTTATCAAGCTGCAACAAAGCTTAAACGTGGCCTCGGAAACCTGTTTTCATTGTAAAAGACTTCACAGCAGGAGGTACTCGTCAACTGTTTAGTGACACCACAAACAGGCGCTGCAATGGACTTGTGTGCTTAACGCGCAAGATTTAAATACGCTGAGCGAAACGTATTGAAATTATCCACTGATATGGTCACACAACGCAAATAATATTGCATAATTTCAAATTTTTTTGACAGCAGCTAGAATTCAAACAAACGCTCCTCTACCGATTCCGGGCGCATACACTATTAAACTCCACTTAGTTATGCCAAGACCATCGTAACATGCACGCTTATCAAATGTGAAGCATTCATTTGCGTACTACAAGCGCTTTTGGCATTCATCCATCCATCCGCCTACGTCTCTGTGCTCTCATGATCGCCCCCTTAACTTGGGGTACATTAACATCAGCACGGGAGAGTGAAATAGTTTCACGAATACGACTCACTGGTCGTGACATGTATAATGTGAATATCTCGTCACGTACTCTGATACACTCTTCAAACACTCCCCGTCAAACAGTAGCACACACCCGGGGACAAATATGTGCCACTGGTAGGCGGGTATGTGTCACAGGTGACGAGAACACGCATGCTTGACTTGAAACGACTCGGAGCACGTCAGATGCTTCACGCGCTTAGATACTAGCTGCAGTCATCGCTGAACTTGTCACTGGTAAGTTCCGACGAACTGGCACAGCTCGATTCCGCGTCGGATGACATCGCCAGCTTGCTCTTCGCGAGTCAGAAGAGGCACGTGAGCTATGTTAACTCTCTGACCAGACGTGATGGTGTGTACCGGAATTCGTGATGTCATCGAAGACGGATTATCGTGACATCATCCGATACCCACCATGGAGGACCGAGTGCAGCTTCCAGTTTCGGTTTCTGTTGAGACTCATCGTTCATAACTCAATTAAAAAAGTGATTGACGAGTGACTGGGCAAAATGAACCACCCCAGTTGTTGCAGGACTGTCGATATTTAAAAACAGCATTCTCAATACGGTCGAAAATACACCGGAATTCCCCTTTAACTGCGATTGACGTTAACCTGCCGTCATTGAGTACATATGCAATGGTTAAAATTAAATGGGCAAGCACTGCAGCAATTGGCGTTTCACGGACATAACGCCTGCATAGACTCTTTCAAAAGAAGTTACACCAGGCGTAGCTGCCAGGTCTGTAACTGCTTTGCACTGCCGTTAAATGCATGCCATTAAAGCATCATTTTGTAACAAATATTTCGAGATAAAGGATAACACAAGTTACCCGAATTTGACATAGTCCAGTTCGACCACATCGTTGCTCGTACACCATTTAATATGTATCGCGCGAATGCGGACGTCAACGCTACCACTACAATGACATTCAACTCATGCCCTTTACTTTTACACAATGATGAGAACGCCGCTATGTTATCCGCCCGAAAGTCCGGTCACAGAACCACTTTCTGACGAAAGTGAAACTTCACAACGCGTCAATAAGCGTTACATTGAGAAAAAAAAAGAAATCGAATATCCGTTGTTTCTACAGTGCAAGAGTGAAACTTCATTAAAGGGAAATTAGGATATCGGAAGGCTTCTATGGCTGAGGGCCCTACGTCTCTTAGCCACACGCCGGATGATTCAAGAGCACGAGCTGCACACACTGCCACATTTCAGGGGTACGTGCTACTGCGATCGTATAATGCAGTGCAATAGAATGACTAAAGGACAACGCATTCAATAATGCACGAGCTAAAACGTAAGTACGTTACCAGAGCTTACGCTAATTACGAATGGCAAACAATAATAAGGAAAGTTTCTAGTTGTACGGTAATATGACCGATTCCTATACTTACTGGGAAA